TCCAGATGTCCGACACTTTATTAGTATCCCCTTGAGAATCATCAACAGAGAGAGCTTGAGTCAGCAAGCTAGAACTACTGGTGGTCAATTCCAAGTAATAAAGTTTTCCTCTTCTAATACCATAACCAATCGTCTTCCGCGTCCGGATGTCCTTAAAAACACAAAAATAGGGCCAAAAAATAACCAAACACTTTAAGGCAAGGGTTATTTGAGCAACAGACAACAAATTATAATTTAAAGAGGGAACCACAAGAACAGTGTCAAGTTTCATGGTATCGGAAAGGGAAACAGTGCCTTCCCCAATAACAGGGACGGCATTACCATTAGCAACATTGACCTCGGTTTGGGTTGATGTTTTTAGTGATGGAACCTGTCTAGAATCGCAAGTCATATGTTCAGTAGCTCCGGAATCAATTATCCATGTATTATTCATAACAGAAGTAGAGGTACTTAGTGCCTTACCATCACTACCTGCCGCAGCAATCATGGCAGATGCCTTGTCCGCTATTTGGTCTGAATCATTCTTGGTTTCTGCAACGGAGGCTCGAGACTTGTTGCACCGAGGATCACGGGTCCTATCCCAATTCTCGGGATATCCAATCAGCTCAAAACAGCGACTCTTGGAGTGTCCTGGCATGCCACAGTGTGGGCACTTACCTTGGGGACGATCCCGGCTTGGCTGGCTAGGCCGAGTTTGTCCTGGCCGGTTTTGTGACCCTTCTCGGTTAGGCCCATAAGATGATCCACGGGCCTTTGCTGCCATGGCAGCGGGTTCACTTTTGTCCACCTCCGTCTTCATTGCTTCCTTCCGATCGGCTTCACGACGAACATACGCATAAGAAGCCTGAAGGCCAAGTGGGGGATCCTTCCGTAGCACTTCTCCACGCACCTGATCAAACCCATCATCGAGACCACCAAGAAACACATAGACTCGTTGTCTCTCAGTGGATTTTTGAAACACTTTGATGTCGTTTTCACACTCCATGGATACTTTATTAAAATGATCCAATTCTTGGAAAATCTCAGTTAGCTCCCCAAAATAGGTAGCCAAAGGTCGGCCATTCTGACGAAGACGTGATGCCTTCTGATTCAACGAATAAATTCTAGCCTCGTCATTCTCATCGAAGTATGCTGTCTTAAGGGAGTCCCAAATCTCCTTCGACGTAGACAGCCTAATGTACCGTTTCATAATCTCAGGCTTCATTGAAGACAAAAGCCAACTCTTAATTTTTTGATCTTCAGAGAACCAATCATCATATTTAGGATCGTCTTCGCTAGGTGCCTTGATAGACCCACGAAGATATCCCATCTTCTTCCTTCCAGCAATATGGATTTGAATGAGAGGAGCCCATAAATCATAGTTCTTTTCATCCAAAACCATACCAATATTAAAACTTGAATTCTCTGACTGCACCATAATTGGAGCAGCCGCTGGAACAATCTGAGAACCGGCTCCCTTTTCTTCAGCCATCTCTCTTGCTGTCGGTATAGCCTAAAACCTGCAGCGTTGATG